ATCTAACTGCTCTGAACTATTGAGATCTCTTAATCGTTCAAGATATGAGGTGCTCTCATTTAGTAGTCAAAATTCTTGTTTTGTGATGGACAAGAGACCGTTACGTTTCAACAATAGATTATCTTCTTTAGACATAAGTCTTTGTGTCAGTTTCACCCAAAGAACTGTTTTCTCTTACTTATATACCCCATTAAATCAGGGGCCAAATACCTGCAATCCAATCTTTTCTTTATTTGGTCAACATTTTAATGATAGGACAGTTGATCCGTATATGAATGAAGGTATGGGAGAGGTTGTCCTGGAAGTTTTTCATTGATGAGGTTCTCCTCTTCGAGCTCTTTCAGCATCCTCTATTACGAAGCTTATTTATGAGGTAAAATTCACATGTTTAATCCTTGGTTATGTTCATAATCCATATATAGACAAAAATGGGCTGCAAATCATTTTTTTTTTTGTTGCGACAGACATAATCTCAATTCTCAAATAAAGATAAAGTCGGAGACACTTTAACAAGTGGAATCTTTGCAGCTGGCAGAAAGAATTATTGTGTAAGAGATGTGCTATTTTTTGGAGGGACCGATAGTAACAGTCTTCACAAGTCACGAGTCGTGTCATCATACACATCGACTTAGTGGCATGATTGGCGATTATCCATTTGCAAAACCCCTGCTGTCATCATCTTCTTTCCTTTTCTTGTTCGTTAGTGCCCCTACCCCTAAACTAAAATGTTTTTCATAAAGGTACCTCTTTCTTCAAATATCCCATTAAAAATTTTGGGGCTTCAAAGCTCTTAGTTCAGGGGTGTGCAGGTTTCCAAACCTAGCGCGCAATGACCTTCTCTGATAGGGGTTCATTTCTTCAAGCGAAACTTGCTGCTTTTCAATTCCTTTTTCCTTTCTTTTTGATTGAAATGTTAAGCTTGAAGGGAACCACGTTAAAAAAAAAAATAGACTTTACGGAAGTTTATAATAGATATGTAAATTCATATAGCATGAGAATCCAAAAAGCTCAAACTATTAGGATTGTTGTTGAAAATTAGAGGCACAGCTAAACAGGGGAATCAAGATTTTTATTTTATTTTTTTCGTTATTTTCAAACCTTTTCTTTTTGTTTTATTTTTTGAGGGAGAGAACAAACCTTGTGGTTGGTAGACAGCCAAATATATATTTTTTGACAGCCAATAATGTAGTTTGTATGTGCAACACCACTTTGGAAACGGCTTCTGTACTTTATATTATTTCATATTGTTCTTGAATACTTTACTTCATAATTCAAATTCGAAAGTAATTTTTTTTATTACGAGAATTGACCAAAATTTCACAATGAACTACACAAAATTCATTAAATTATTTTCAATTATTAAAGAGTCTACCTTTACTGGGGCAACTTCATTTGAGAAATCCAAATTAGTATTTCCATTTTCTGGGCGGCTCATTTAAATAAATGTTAATGTTAAATATTTCTTTAATATTTAACTAAACCGCTCCCACTTGAATTATTAAATTCATTTATAAAACTTTTAACTATTAATAATTCAAGTGGGAGCGGTTTAATTAAATATTAAAGAAATATTTGACATTAACATTTATTTAATGCCTTCGTGGCAGAATGGCTATCTCACTTCTCTAACATGATTGGTCAAATGGAAAGGGCAATCCACACTTGTCAACTCCAAATAATATTAGTTTGAAAATTGCACTCAGTTGTGGAAAATGGAAATTACGTACTTTAGAATATTGTAGGGTTTTTTTTTATTTTTAATTTATTTAATTTATGTATGTTCTAAGGATATTCTTTAATTAAATTTTTTTTTTTATCTAGGGAGGTGTTTCTATTTTTTTTAGTACAATATGTGGGGGGTAGGAGATCGAACTCATAGTCTCTTAGTTGGAAATATATGACAATTATCGCTAAACTATGTTCGCTTTGACAATGTGTTTCTTTTTATATTAATGCTTCTCATCATTTTAAAACGTAATCAATCCTATCAAAAAGTTGGCCAGAAAATTTAATTACTAATATGAAGTCAAATTTTTATTGTTAAAGGTAACAACATGATGACTTCATTGTATAGAACCAACAAGAAAAATATTGTTCAAAGGAAAAAAAAAGAGTAAGAAAAATATTGATTCATGTGTTATCAACTATGAGATGAGATGATAAATTAAAGAAAGAGAAATTGTGATATTATACACAAGAAAAAGTCTAACAAACAAAAGTTGAGCAAAGAAGGAAAATCAATGACAATTGCAAAATATTGGGATTGAATAAGACTGTAAAATCTTGAATTTAAATAAGAAATTATAATTTGGAGCGTCATCGCTGTGACCTCGAAATCACTTTGAGTCTTGACGTGGAATTTATTGATTTTCACATTTTTCTCAACTTCAAACCTATCTTGAATCGAGTTGACTTTATAATTTTGATAGTGAGAAATCTTGGATGGATTATTTAATGAAATTAAAATTAATTGGAATTGGAAGAAGTCAACAAAGGAGTTGACAAGAAAGAAAAATAAGAAAAGGCAATAATGCAAAATGAGAATTTGGAAGAATCTCGAGGATGCCAGATTACTTTTTTCTTGTGCTTAAGAAGAAAAGTTGGATTTAGTTAGAAATTAAGTGAAAACCAGTCATTCATAAACTTCACTTTGATTTAAAATTAGTTTAAACACACTTTTAGTCACTTTATTTAAATAGTTCTCATACTTTTTCACTTCGAGTATGATCAATTTAATATTTAAATCGAGTATGGATGTTTTAATATTTATAAATCTTAACTCATATAAATACTTTTTTAAAATATATATTTTTTTTGATACATCCTATTTGAAAGAGGTTGAATCAACCATAGTTTCAAATCGATTCATATGATTTTAGAATTTTAATTTTTTTCTTTTGACATTCAAAGTTTTAATTGGATTTTTATAGTTGGTTCAACTTAGACTATATAATTTTAAAAGTTTTAATTTGGTCCCTACGAGATTTTGGTCAAATCTCACGAATCAGTCTTAAACCACATTTATTACAAACAGTAAATATATTTTAACTGAAAGGTGGAAAACTTTGAGTGAGAAAAGCAGCTGAATTCTCGAATGAAATTTCATATATTTTCTATATGATTTCATATTTGAGTATGAGAGATGATTCTCTAGCTAAAGCTGCTCATCATCATATTTATGAAATTCAATATTTATTGTAATAAATGCTATAAAACAAATATAGAAATTTGTGCGTCATCCAATCTCTTCTAGTTAGCTCTCATGTCATTTCAACGAAAAGGGTATCAAATAAAGCTGACACAACAATTAGCAACATTTTTACATTTATGGAAATAAAAATTATAAAAGAAAAAATTAAAAGTTTATTCATTAATTCAAATTATTACACAAAACTTTGAGTGTATTTCTATCTCGATCCATATCGGAATATTCAAATACTCTCAATTGGAAATCTCTAAACCATTCCTAAAACATACACCAACATTTATACTAAAAAAAACCAATAAAATCTAAATGATATTTACTTCTTATATAATTGATATTAAATTTTCATCAAGATGCCAATACTAATATTTGTTTTCTTTGAAAATTATAAAATACTAATTTCAATTTGAATACCTGTTAGAATTTCTTTTTAAATATCCATCATTATCAACATTTACCTGAAATTGAGAGGTGGAAGATTGATATTTAAAAACTCTGTACCATTTAAAATCTGAAAATAAAGATATCATGAAATGAACAGTGGTCAAAGGAGAAAATTTGATTTGAATAATACTCACCAATGGTCACAATTGGATAAGAATTTGGTTGATTCTGACACATACTGTCTCCTTGTCATCTTGCAACATTCTGTGACAGATTTTAGTTTAAAGAATTGAAAATTAAACAACTGTAATATGATATGATATCATCTTCATTAAATTAAAAAGAAAGTTAAATAATTAATTTAAAATAAAGCTAAATAGATATCGGATAAAATATTATCCACTTTCAGATTTCATATCTATTTGAGTTTTAAATTTAAAGAGTTAAATATTTTAGTTCCCACCTTTTAAAAGGTAGTACTAATAAAAAGTTCATAGAATCAATATATTGTCATTCTCACCCCCGAAATACTGCCATAGAAGTTTGAACGACAGAATTGATATTTACTTACGTGCTAGTTTTAAATGATGTGACATTTGAATTAAGGAAAAAAACAAAATAAAAAATCAAGATGATAAGAACTTCTTTAAAAATCCATTGTCTGGATGGACAACGATCAAAATTTAGAAGATGAACGAGGTCAATTAAAAATTGAAATATTTTTCAACTTCTAAAATATTTGGAGGAGTTATTAAATTTCATATTTTAAGTGGCTTAATTATTCTTCAATTTTTTTTTCATTTCATTAAATATGATGTCTTATAAACTTTGCCTGTTTTTTTAGTTTTTAAATATAGCAAAAATTTCCCCTTATATTAATAGTATTTCAAATACTTATGTAAGTAGCATATTAGATGTATATTACATACATATTGTAAGTATATCAGACACTCATATCATATGTATATGACATACATATATCAGTAGTTAAATACATTATAGATATATATCATTTTGATAAAGTTATCATTTTAAAATTCAACGTCTACTTTTTATTTTAAAAAGTACAAATATTTTAAAAAAACTAATGTTTTTTATATATTTGTAACTGTCCTTTATCATATTCAGCTGGAAGATTTAATTAGAACAAATTAAAATATAAAAATTGAAACTTTTAACAAATATTAATATTTTGTAAATTGGCCGACGGGGAAAGGAAAAATGAACTGGGTGACGACAAGTGGCCAGCCGACGTAAAGCATGAAAAGGCAATTTGACCAAATTTCCCACTTTCGTCCGCGACCGCGTAAACCGGCTCCTACAAGTTACAAATTTGCCCTTCGTCTCTATTTAATTTATAACATTTCAATGTATTTAAATATAATTTCGAAGTTTTGATTTTAGTTCAAATAATTCTATATTACTTCAATTTTTTATAATGGATTAGTTAGACTAAGAGTGAAAATTTGAAATCCTCAAAAAAAGAAAAAAAAAGGATAATTTGAAATCACGGTCAGTTGGAGGAAATCATTTTTTGAAATAATATATCTTTGTTTCATTCAAATAACCTACTTTTTGTGTTCTTTTATTTTTATAATTTTGTATCATTGATTGTTATCATCTTGTGCTAATTTATCATTCATGACTCAAACTAACGCGTTACTTAAAAATTTAAGAGATTTAGTATCAATGACAATCTTTTTATGATCTAGTAGAATGGAAATTGAAAGTTTAGTATGTTAGTTGAATTTTTGAAAATTTTTAACTAAAATTTTAATTTGATCGAAAATTATTATCCATTTAAACTTTGAATCATGGTTGTTTTAAATTCAACATGGTATGATCTAACCATGTTTCTTTTTTAATAATTGAGCAGATGAATTCGAACTCATGATCATCATACATAGGTGCCTTAATCAATTTAGCTAAACTCACACTAGCGTGAACTAACCATCTCTTTGAGCTCAAATCTTAGTGAAAGAATATAGACAAATGTTGTATAATTACACTATAGATCTAAATTTAATATGCTAACTAATTTTATATAATTGTCAAATCATTATATCTTAATTTATCTTAATCTTATCTAAACAAACACAATAAATGATTCAGGATTTAATTTCAATGTAATATTAGTCCAAATCTCATTTTAATTTATCTTTTAATCCACTTAATTAATATACATTTAGCACTCTCCTCAAATAACTTACACGACTTCCATAAAATTGTTCATATTAACATGCTAATACACATCTATAAAATTAAATTATCTATTCGTTAAAAGCATTTATTTTTTTTTTAAAGCCGGTCAAAATTTGAGAGTTACATAAAATAAATTTAAAAGTTGGAAACGAAAATAAACAGGTGGAAAGTTTCAAAATACTAAAATAGAATAAATTTTAAAATTAAAAAAAAAAATAGAGGGAAGATATTTTAAATAGATAAGAGCGCCGATGATGTGGACTCCAAAAGGAAAGTTCATGCATAAGTGCTAAATATCCTAAAGAAAAAGAAACTTGATAAAAGGTGGTTCCCACTTCCCCACATCAAAACTTTTACCTTTTTGTAAAATGATCCAAAAGTTTCGAGAAATAGCAATATTGCCCCAAACCCAAAATTGACTCTTCCTTCCTATAAAGCGCACAATCCTCTTCCCCTG